AATAGATGTTAGCTCAGAGCTGGTCTTCCTCAGCAAAAGGAGGAGGATTGGCACGGACGTTAGCTCAGGGCTGATCTTCCTCACAAAAAAAATATATAATCACACCAATTTGTCAATTATAAGGCCACTAATTCATTATAAAATTCCATGATTTTATGACTGATCATCAAGATATTTTGACACTTGAAAGGACTACATTACTGGATTCTCAATTATCAACATTTAGTTTTGTTTGTATCCTCAAAGACAGGAAATGTTTGAAAACAAAGCTTATTGGTTGTCAGGGAGAAAATGGTAACAATGCAGCGGAGAACCAAGACAGCCCTTTAACTAGATGACCAAAATTAAGCACCAGTGAGACTCAGAGGGACTTTGTGTGCCTCGGGATGTAACACACCCTGAAAAAGACACACGGTCGTTTCTGTTGTGTGCTGGCCAGGGAGAGACAATCTGCATGTGATCATAAGGAAATGTCAGCCCAAAATGAGGAACATCCTATTTTTAAAAATTGGCCTGTATTCTTCAAAAGCGTCAATTTCATCAAAGAGAAAGACAGAGTGAGGAACTGCTCCCAATTAAAGGAGACTAAAGAGGCATGACAATCAAATGCAATATACACTCATGGACTAGGCCCTGTACTGGAGCGGAGAAGTGCTAGCAAAGGGCATTATTGGGTTGAATGTGGAAGGCGGAAGAGCTAACAGGACTGTTTCCACGTTAAATTTCCTGAATTTCATAACCAAGTTACGGTTAAGTAACAGAATATCCCTATTCTTAGGAAAAATACACTACAGTATAAAGGCGTAAAAAAAGACATGACGATGTATGATTCCTACTCTCACACAGTTCAGAAAAATGCACACGTGGCGTATGTGCGCATATGTGTGCGTAGAAAGAAAGAGATAAAATAAATGGTGAATGTGGATAAAGGATCTATGGGAGTTCTTTGTATTATTCTTGCAACTTGTCTGTAACTTTGAAATTATTTCAAAGTAAGGTGTACCTACTCTCTTCCTTGTTAGTCCTGTCAGCTGCTTGACCCATAATTCCCCACCTCTAAACTTGGCATTCAGTTACTCTGTTCACTTTAGTGAGAATTCAAGTAGTGACAGCTTAGCACCATTAGGCTAAGATGCCCGAACTGAAGTTTTAAAAACCATTAACACATATGGCAAAAAATTCATCAAGTTTTGACACACATGTATGAGTTATCTCTTAGGGATGAGGAAACTCTTATCTAAATTATTGATCATGGACATCACATCTGAATATTACCTTTGCAATCTCCTTTATTATATTTTGTTTTAGAAGGGTAGGAAGAAGGAAGAGACTGAGACATACTTCTCAAATGGCCTGGCATACTGCTGAATTCCACAGCGTTGCATGTTTAGAGGTATTGTTATTCAAGAGTGGCCTATTTAGTGTCACAGAAACTTAATACGCACTATTGACTGACTTTGCTCATTTCACAGCCACAAGGACAACTGAACCTCTCCACAAGTCGTTGCCGAACTTGTCTGAGGTTGTGGTGTTTAGCAATGGATTCAGAGCATCTTCACAAAGTTATGGTACAAATAAGCAATTTGTTTAAACACATACACACACACAAATTATGGTGCTTCTCTTGACAGAAGACAGGTCAAAGGTCAATAGGTACCAAAATTTTCTAACAATGTCTATGGAACATGCTTAGCTTTTTGATTGAAATAATTCCACTAAGCAAAATAATGGGCAGCACGACACAGTGACCAACAGTGTAGGCTCCAAAATCAGCCCTGGATTCTTCCCAGCTCCATATTTATTTACTGCGTGACCTTGACAAGTATATGATGTACTTGAGCCCCAGTTTCCTCATGTGTCAATGGGGATAATAATAGCATTTACTTTATAAGACTGTTATGGGATTAAATAAGACAATGCAGGTAAAGCACTTAACCTAACACATAGCACATAATAAATAATAAATGTTACTGCAATAATGATAGCGATGGTGATGAAACAGACTCATGAGGATGAAAGCAGTGGCGACTGCAGTCTCTTGAAATATGGGCGGCAGCTTCAGGAGGATGCTGTGGTCTCTTGCCAGGACAACACTTGTAAATAAGTGCATGCAGGGTAGAGGTTCTATGAATGAGGGACCGACTAGAATCTATGGAGCAGTAGAAGAGCAGCCTTCTCCAACAGTGAGCAGAGTTAACTCACTGCATTTTATGTCCTATTAAATGGGCACCTCATCCTCTTGCTTTGTAACTCCATAGGATACATGCACCTGAGTGGGTCCCTGGGGGAACACCTCTTCACTGTCATGTTTATTGCTCTAAATTAAATAAATGTGGCACTCAGCTGGCTGCCACTTTACCAAATCAATTCCTCTGGCTTTCAGATGGCCTGCAGTAAAGCAAGGTGTTCAACCAAACTAGAAGATTCCTACTAAAATTTTAAAAATTGGCAGAATATACATCATTTGGTTCAAAATGTATAGCTGACAAGACTGTGGTGGGCATAAAATAAGCAAAAAGAAACTCACATAGTCACTTTACTTCATTTAAAGTCTAAAGCGTTTTCTAAATCACTTGACAAAGGGGCTCAGAAGACCAGATCCCCATGCACTAAGTTTCTTAAATGACTGTTTAGACCCACTCAGAGGACACTGAGTCATTCACAGAGGCCTAATGATCCAGCACACACAGAGCAATGATTAGAGGCTGCTCAACAGAGACTGCATTTATATTAATCAATAAAGACACAGGATCCCAGAGGTCAGGAATATTCTCTGTGACAGGAGTGTTTTCTAACTAATTTCCCACGTAATTCAAGAGAAGAATAAAAAGCTTAAAAAAATAGAAAGATCCAAATGAGTGTATCACATCTATGGATATCTGATAATAAACAAAACCACACACAAAGTCTGAGATGCTCAGAGCTACAAAGAACCTCAAAGATCACTAAGGCCACCCGCCATTACAGAACGACCAAGTCCTCTCCATCTCCAACTTCCTCGCCAAACAGTGCTTGGGCCCATGCTTCTCAGAGCATCCGCTGTCTCCTAAAGCAGTCCACTGTCTTTAGACTCTTCGGGGAGTAAGAAAGTCCTTCCTGTTCCTACGTCGACATTTGCCTCGGTGTCTCCTCATTGTCAAACAGGACTACTTCCTCTTTTCTGGGGTGGTCAAATACTGAAAGACAATTATGGCATCTCTGTCTACTCATCTCTTTCCCAGACTGCTTTGAGCCATTTCCCAGACCCCCTCGTTGTACTAATAGAGTGGGACACAGGTTGAGCTTCTGTCAGAACAGACGGCCATAAGCATCATACAATTGACTCTTGGTGATCATCACTACCTTTCCCATTTCTACAGGCTTCTAGGCTGTTCTTTACTGAGTTAGATGGTGAGAGTGTAGATAGCACATTTGGATGGTGAAAGGTGGCACTGAAGGATACCTGGACTCTTAATTTACCTGAGCTCTACTGTTTATCATCCTCCTCCTCAGCAGTTTCTCGGCCCCAAAAAAGAATAAGATCTTTGGGCAGATAGTTATGAATACCATGGACACTACCTCTTGGGAGGTGGCAGAAGGGAAAGACATCTTGTAATAAGGCGAATGCAAACCAAAGTCCTACCTCTACCACTAAGTTGCCATTTAGATTTTGGACAAATCCTGCATTTCCACATCTGTATGTGTGGGTAATGCCCATATCTCAAGAGTGTTTTAAGGAAACAGTGAGAAAACACTCTATCGTATAGCACCCAACCCACAGTAGGACTCTTCCTCTTTTTAATCAAAACCACACTTCAGTGAACTTTCTTTAAAATGTTAACATACCTAAAATATCTGGGGTGGGTTGATATTTTGTAATTTGTTTCCTCTAACTTTCAAACCTCACAGGATGTCCATGGTTTTAAAATATTTTCTAACCCATAATCTACCCAAATGGTTCTTTGATTTAGATATATTAAGTAATATGATTAAATGGTTCTCCTTATTTCCTGATAATTTACACAAATGCAATAGCTCAGCAGATTTTTATGCTGAATTCTAAATTATGTGATCTGGCTTTTCTTTAAGTCATGTATCTCTTGTAGCTTTTAATCTATGAAAGTGATGTCACTGTAACATACTGGGCTTTTTATTCAATGCTTCCATAAGCTCAAAACAGTTCAGAAAATGACGATTCAATTAAAACTCAACACAGGAAAAGAATCCAGAAACAAAAGAATAACAAATAATTTAATGAAGTCTAAATTAAGACTTCTCTCACAGAAAATACTTTCCACAGGCTGCAGAAAAAGTATCAGTAAAACTTCATTTGTTTTCCCTTCTAAGGCAGCATGTGAATATCCACCTCCATTTGGAGCACACTGACCACAGTCCTATACTATTCCTTGCTTTCTCATCTTAAATCTGCTCAACAAATTTGATCATTTCTGTTTTTATTACTAATAGAACACTCTCTCATAAAATCTTTTTGTAACAAAATAAGCAACAGTATGAATTATTTCTATTCAGTGCAAAATAACTACTCATAGAAGATAATTACAGAATTTGAGAGCCAAGAGTCAGGACAATCACTTTAGGACATTTAACGGATGAGGCAACTGAGGCCCAGAGAGGTTAACCAGTGAGATCAGTCAGTAACAGAGGTGGCCTAGAACGCCTGTCCTCTGACTCAGCCAGTACACAGGATTAGCTCCAAAAAGCCTACTATTTACAGCATTTCCTGAGGTATGTTTCTCAGAACTGTAGTTCTACGGTGTTAACAGATATTGGAGGGAGGGGGAAAATTTCCCAAATAACACTGAAAATCATTGAGTTAAACAAAGCTAAACGGATTCCTTTGCTACAGGACTTCTCAGGGCCTTAATATTTACTGTTTCTTGTGTAAATGCAGAGAGGACCATAGTCAGCAGTGTTTTCAAAACATTTTTAGTCATGAAATTCCTTTTTTGTTTTTTAAAGCATTTTATGGGTAAAGTGTTCCATGAAATACATTTTTGGGAAATGTAAAAGATAATAATATATGCAATGTAAATGATAAATGACAATGACTTTTAAGTTTTAGTACATTTTGTTTTCTGTTTGCTTATATGTGTGTCAACATACACACAAAGCCAGACACATGAACCAACGAGAATTAGTTCAATGATATGCCATAAAAGTCAAATTTACAGTCTATAATATATAACAAGGACTTTTTCAACTATGATAGGGATATATTGGTTGTCTACCAATTGATCTAATTTCTACAAAACAGGGAGAATTCAGATGCATTTAACAAGTTGAAGAAAAAGTAGGTAACACAGACTATGTTACAGCATCAGTGGAATTCTTGCCTTTAGTGCAGCTGCTCCGGAATCAGTCAACAGATTCGTGATGCAGTCAAGAAAGTACAATAAAAACTGTCAGTAACAAAATCAGGCTTACATGGGAAGAAAGGTCAATATGCTTTGAGTGTGAATGTATGGAAGTGAGACAGCACACAAGGTCATGGGACTCAAGGCAAACCTGAGAACTATCTTTATTCCATGAGGTCTCTGAGGTACAGCCTGTGTGGACTCCCAGAGATCTTTCCATCTCTGCAAGTGTCCTTTAAAACTACAGAAATGAAACCCAGCTTCACAGGCTCCCTGTGGAATTCACTGTCCATAAGCCCATGGGGCACAGGCTGCTGTTGAATAAGCACAAACCTTTCTTGGAGCACAAACCTTGACCTAGTCTAGGCATGCAGCAGCTCTGCAGCCAGTTGTTTTTCACAAAGCCCAAAAGACAGAACAACTGGCTGAGGCCCATATAGACTTTCCACATGGCTGAGCCCCCTGTAGGAGGAGAGGATCAATAGATCCACTCAAAATGGCAACCTCTGTCCTGCTGAGGAAGCAGCTTCTTCAATGTAGGTAAAATTCAGGATATTTCCCTTCTGCAGAGGCATTATCTTCTTGTTTTTTAAAAGACAGTTCACATTATTAAAAAGTAATGGTATTTAATAGGAATTTCCTCCCACAAAACCTAAAATGCAATGCCTGAATTATAACTGATCCTTTAATACTACAGAGCATACCAGGGGGTACGCAAACAGCTTTGAAGGGTGGAGCAGGTAATTCTTCCCATTTTACAGATTGATTTCACACCAGCATTGCAACACACTGAGAAAGTTCTAATGGGAACTAGGACAAGAGTTTGAGGTAGGAATTTATAAAAAGCATGAAATGGTTTCCTCATAACCAACATGATTTAGGTCTGCAGGCTAAGGGAAAAGAGAGCTGAAGGAATCAATAAGGCGATGGAAGAAAAATATGGGGCTGCGAGAAGAAGGCAACAGAGGGAACATCATCTCTCCTCCCAACTCAAGCACTGCCCTTCCATTTAAAAATTTTAAATTCATTTTCTCCTTTAAAAAACTGTTAAATATATGAAATTTTTAAAAAGCCAAGCAGAAATAAGATAATAAGTACTTATCACTCCAGCCTCTACCACTAAAATGCTGGTGTATATCCTTTCAGACGTGTTTTTTTTTTTTTAAGGAAGATTGGCCCTGCGCTAACATCTGTTGCCAATCTTCCTCTATTTCTTTTTTCTCCCCAAAGCCCCAGTACATAGTTGTGTATCATAGTTGTAAAGTTGTAGCTCCTCTATGTGGGACGCTGCCTCACCATGGCTTGATGAGCGGTGAGTAGGTCTGTGCCTAGGATCCGAACCTGCAAACCCCGGGCTGCCAAGGCAGAGTGCACAAACTTAACCACTATGCCACCGGGTCGGCCATAAGCCTCAGGTTTCTCATCTGTGTGATGAAGATTACAATAACACCTACTCCATAGGTTGCTGCTAGAATTCAATGAAACAGTGCATGTGAAGTACTTAAATTATGTGACATGACAGCTATGTGCTCAATATAAGGTAGCTATTTTTATTACTGTCGCTGTTGAGTATTCTATTCTATGATTATATTGCATTTTTAATAATCCAATCCTCAATTGTTGGGCGTTTAGTTTATTCCTAATTTTTTAAAAACTTTTTATTTTGAAATCATCATAGATTCACAGGAAGTTGCAAAAACAGCACAGAGAAGTCCCATGTACCCTACATCCAGTTTCCCACAGTGGTAACATCTTACATAATGATGGTAGAATATCAAAACCAGGAAACTGACACTGGCATAATCTACAGCTCTTACTCAGACCACACCAGTTTTATGTGCTCTCATTTGTGTATATATGTGTAAATAAAGGTCAATGCAACATTATCACATGTGTAGATTCATAGAACCACCAACACAATCAGGATACAGAACTTTCCATCACCACCAACATCCCTCTTGCTACCCCTTTATAATCACACCCATACTCTTCCCCTTTCCCTCCTCCCTGTCCCTAATCCCTGGCAACCACTGATCACTTTTCCATCTCTATAATTTTATCCCTTCAAAAGTGTCATATAAGTGGAATCGTACGCTATGCAACCTATTTTCAGTCAGCATAATGCCCTTGAGATCTCTTCAACTTGTTGCATGTATCCATAGTTTGCTCATTTTCATTGCTGAGTAGTATTCCATTGTATGGATGTCCCACAGTTTGTTTAACCATTCATCTGTTGAAGGATATTTGGGTTGTTTCAGTTTTTGGCTAAAACAAACAAACTTGCTCTGAACATTTATGAGGTTTTGTGTGGACTGAAGTTTTCATTCCTGAGATAAATGCCCAGGAATGTGAAAACTCGCTTGTACGGTAAATATATGCTTAGTTTTATATAAAACTGCCAAACTATTTTCAGAGTGGCTGTACCATCTTGCGTTGCCACCAGCAATATATTAGAGATCCAGTTTATACATATCCTCACCAGCAGTTGCTTCTGCTTTTTGGGTTTTTTTAGCTATTCTAATAGGCATATAACAATATCTTATCACGGCCTTAATTTGTATTTCCCTAATCGCTAATGATGTTGTTTCTAATTTTTGAAATGATAAACAGTGCTACAATGGATATCTTTATTTGGGTAAATTTTAAATTAATCCTTACAAATGAATTCTTCAAAGTGGAATGACTGGATGGCAGATTAAAAAAAAGTTGAAACATATTACCATAATGCCCCCCAGAAAAGTACCAATTTATACCCCCATCAGCAGCATATGAATTGCTCAGCTTTTAAAGTATATCTACTGTTTTCTCTCCCCTGTCAGGTTAAAAAGAATCTTCTTGCCAATACACTCCCTACTACCAGGGAAATAAAATAAAAATCAGATTGCCCAAAATCTTAATAGAGCAGAAAATGAACCAACTAAGATACCCTCTCCAAAGACATCCCATATTCAGACATGCATTTAACATTTTCACCAAACACCTTAGGAAAAAAGAAAACTCATTTACCTTTATGGGCAATATGACACAGATCTTCTTGCATTTTAGAAAACTCTGATGAGGTTTCCAAGCCATCAGAATAATTTTTCTCTTCTCCAAAATCTAGTGTGGACAAATTAGGATTGGAGGAATGCAGTCTTACTGGGCCAGAAAAAGGCTTAGGAACCTGAAGTAATACCAAAGGGAGATATTTCTTTTCAGATGCAAATTACGTAGAATATTTACTTGTTTCTAAGATTGGAAACTAGTAAGAGAGGAACATTTTATAGGTAAGTCTTTCTACTGAGTGATAACTTATAAAAAAAATAAATGAAAACTCAGGAAAGCCCTTTCTATGGCAACTTGCACTGGCTTCTTGCAAAATAAAAATGGGCAAGAAATCACGTATTCTTTTGGAAATGACAGCAGCATTAAAGTCACAGGTTGAAAATGACAGCTAAAGCTGCCAGGCTCTTTCTCGTTATACTCAATTCCTTCTTTCTGGCAATAATCATCCAGTATCTAGGTTGTTAATAGTGGATAGATTTGAAAACGTTTTCTTTATTTGCACCTGGTGCTTCTACAAAATGAACTAACTTCTCATGTTTGTACACAAATCCCTTTTTACTTTAAAGTATTTAAGTTCAACCCATAAAGTGCTTTGAACCACAGAGTATACAAGAGTATAACAGATGACTTATCTGTAAGTTTCTGATTTATTTTCACCCTAACAAGTCGCAATTTCACATGCAACGGCTGAGCTGCAAATCTTGGCCTCTGGGTTAGCTGTTCATTAGGAAAGTCAATGGCTAGTGTGACAGGATGAATCTCTGATGGGGGATTGGGAGGTTGGAGGCAAGAGAGTCTGCACAATGTCCTGCTCCCAAAGACTCCAGCCAATAGGCTCAGAAGAGTGAGGAATCCACTGAGCAGCAGCAGAAGAGGTGGGTCAGAGCAGACACCCAAGCAGGGAAGAGGGCAGGCAGGCTATGCATTAGAGAGGGGGAAACCACAGTCCTAGAAACGGCTCCAGTCCTTCCAACCTCATGCTGTTTTTCTCTTACCCAGTATCCATTACATGCTGATTCTAGTATCCAGAAAATCTAAGTGATTGAATTCATCTCTCTGCACAGGGTATTTGAGAGACTCACTATAGAATATTCACTTGTCTATTCTCCTGTTTGAGTCCAAGTAGCCAAGGGGCACGGAGAGCAGGGCCAATGAAGAAAACAGGCTGTCAGGAGAGGCCATGGTTACCTGCAGTGTTCCTTTAGCATCTTTGCCAATAGCTCTGGACCGCCACCTCCTGTGCGATCTTTTCTCCTTTTTGGGACTTTCAAAAGCTCCACCCTTTGTGTTAAAACAGGAAAGAGAGCACAGACAGTAAGGTCCACCAAACCAACAGGGAAAAATGCACAGCCAAGTGGCCACCTCCATCCCCTCGAATTTGGCGGAAGCGACCGACCAGACAACATCACACTGTTAGTGAAAGGCTGGGGAGGAAAAAGGAAAGCAGAACGCCAGAATGCAAACAGAAGCGGGCTCTGGCTAACCTGGATGGCATTGATAGCTGGTGCCGAATATGTCCGATGCAGGACGTCCATACTTTGTAGGAGCTGGTTCATTTCCACCAGGTAGGCATGACAGTGAGCCAGGTCTGTGGGAGAAAGGCAGAAGAAGGATTCATAAGCACTTATCTTAGCACTCAGGCTTCACTATGTTAGTGCCAGCTACTTTTCTTATTTATCTATGTTTGATTTACATCCGTAAGGACAGGAAATTTTACTTCCTTTTTTACAGGAAAGGCAGTAGACTGTTGCAGTTCAGGGCATGGATGTGAAGAACCAGGCTGTCTCAGTTTTAATACGCTTAGAATCTTGGGCAAATTACATAATGTCTTAGTTTCCTCATCTGGAAAATGGGGATAATTATACACCAAGCTCACAGGATAGTTGTGAGATAAATGAGTTGATGTATGCAGCGGGCTTTTAGAGTGCTGGCACATTGTAAGCACTAAATAAATCAGCTATTATTATCATCACCACTATCATTTCTAATAGTGCAATAACAGGGTGTCACTATCTGCTTATAAGGACCCCATACAAGCTAAATGAATGAAATTAAAAGGAAGGTTGTCTTGGTCTCTAAGGATAACTTTGTCGATCATGGACCTGCACGAGGACCATGTGGATCCTCTGCAGACTGACCTGAGAGGACCTAAGAGCATTCTCAGACCAGTTGCTGGGTCACTAACTCAAAAGACAGTCCTCAATTTGCTGTTCACTGGATGATGGTGGCTGTTGCTGCTGAGCAATCATGGCCCAAATGCATTAAGATAGTGGCTCTCAAACTTTGGTCCCATCAGAATCACCTGGAGAACTTGTTAAACCACAGATCGTTGGGATCCACCCCCAGTTTCTGATTTAGTCTATCTGGGTTGAGCCTAAGAATTTACATTTCTAGTAAGTTCACAGGCCAGGCCAATGCTGCTGGTCCAGAGACGACACTTCAACAACTAATGTCCCAAAATGTCACTCAGTGAAGCTCATGAGTGACATTTACTGGGAGGACCAAACCTATATGGCCCCAGGTGTGATAATACTTGCATTCAACAGGAGAAAATGCAATTTTCAAGGCTACTACCTGACTTCTTTCTCTAATAGTGGTTCTCAATCATGGCTACACTTTCAAATGAGCTGGGGAAAATTTTTAAACTACCTATATCCAAGTCCCATCCCCAGACAATTAAATCACAACACTCCCATCCCACTGGTGATTTTTTTGTTTTTTAGTTCCCTGGGTGATTCTTAGCTAATTAAGGTTGAGAACACTGAGCTTCCTTGTGGCAAGAGTTCTCAGTCCTGGCTCCTATCAGAATCACTTGGGGAACTTTAGAAAATTAGTGATGCCAGGGCCCCACTCTGACCAATTTAAAAAGATTCTTCTGCAGAGGGGCCTGGGCATGGGTATTCTTGTATTTGAAAAGCTCTCCTGGTGATTCTAATGTGCAGACAGGGTAGAGGACACCTATTTTGTGGGGATCACCATTTGGTTCACCCACTCACCTCCAGAACAGTGATTCTCAACCCTGGATGTGCATCAGAATCATTTTTGGCGCTTTAAAAAAATAGAGAGCTGTGCAGACCTCACCCCTGGAGATTGTGATTTAGTAGGCCCACGTGGAAATCAGGCATCAGTACTTAAAGAGTAAAAAAGGAAATCTGTCTGCATGCACACCCAGGTGAGGACATAAAGCTCTGCAAGGAAAGCGTCTTTCGTTAATCACAAGTGCAAACTTAATAAGAAAAATATGAGAGGGAATATAGACTAGCAACGGGGAAGGATACAAATTCATCCAAGGTGTAAATACTAAACCGGTATAATCTAAGAGCCATGACAGAAAGAAGCAGAGGTTTCAAGTCACTCTACCTTTGGAGCATTTTTCCATGTCCTCTGAAGACTGTAACCATACTGGAACTCGTGTCTCACCACCACAAGAAAATGACAGATTGCTTCCAGTTTGAAACGAATTCTGCTTTGATATACTGCTACACTGTACCACAGATGACAAAAGCACGTTATAAATGAAAACAGAGCCCAGTGGGAACACTTTAGGGTAAAGGATAACAAAGTGGGCTAGTTGCTAATGGAAGCCACCTGCCTGTAATGGAGAAGAAGCTTCTAGCAAAGCACTCCACTGGAGACCCTAAGCTCTGGGGGTCACCCCAGCTTGGCCATAGCATGCTATGAGGCCTGGACTGCAGTCCTTAATTTCTTCTTCTGTCAAATGATAATAATACCAAAATAATGATATAAATGTTGGAAAAATTTGCAATTCTGTATGGCTAGGAATGTACCTACTGCATTTTACAACCAGATAAGAAAACCAAAGTCAAACTGGTCAGGAGAAAGCTGGAGAATCCAAGGCTAGTAAAGTCCTCCTTCCGTGCTATTCTTCAGTTACTGTCCCAGCGATAACAGATTCTCCTCTGGCCCTGGTTCTGACTGGCTGGGCAAACAGACTCATTAAATACCAGCCCAAGCTTACCCTGCTCTTCCCCACAAACCTTTCCTTCTCAGACACAGCCCCCTAGATGGGACTCCCCTACCCAAAGCCATCCCTTCCTTGTAGATTCCTTATTGGCAAATTATTACCTTCCTACTTGAAATGGAGTCCAAGACCCCAGACGTCGAGTCTGTGATGGTGGATCCTGGGAAAAAGTGATTAACTTCATGTGGAAACATGGCTATTTCATTCTGACGAAATAGTCTGTGGTGGCGGAGTTTGGATACCCACTCATCAAAGGCTTCTTCTGACTTTACCTAAATTGCGTTAAATTGAAAGAAAGAAACAAGAGCGTCACTCACTGAGAGGAACAATTATTTATCAAACTGAGGTCACTCCTGACACCCCCTCTTTCATGTTGGCACATGTAGAAATATCAGCTTATTGGCTTAGTTTACATTTATGTGGTCCAAGGGAACAAGTCTGAGGAGGAAACGGAGAGTAAAAATGGTCTTCATAAACTATATATTTAGGCTTCCTATGAAAGGGTCCAATTGTTATACTATTATTAAGAAAGCAAAACAGTAGCAGTTATATTAAACAACAAATAAACTCAAACTTATATCTGTCTCTTAAAGTACTTCCAAGTTCTCCTGCCCTAGCTTCTCCTATCTCTACTGAAAATATTAGCACCATGTTTCTTTTTGAACTGTTAATACTCAGAATCTTCAGATCAATCTTCTCTGAATTGGAATGAATTAGTAAATTCTTTCTAAAATATTTAACCTTGTTAATCTTCTCTGACAAAGAATACATTGCTGAAGAATGTATGTTAACGAATGTGAATGTTATTTAAAAGAACATTTCTCCTGCTCTCAGAAATGGAAAAAAACTGACAAAGTATTATCGGTGATTTCCAGGATTTCTCAAACACAAGCACACAAACATTTAGCCATTCTCTCCATAAATGAGTATCTATCAATGTCTAATTTCCACGAAGAATAATGTTCATAACCAGTGCCTTTTATTTTAAAATATTTCAAATGTTCATAAAAGTACTAAAAAGAATATAACAAGCACCTATGCACCATAGATATTTCTTAATAGTCAATATTTTTGTGTATGTATGAGTGTATTCAGATTTTCAAAATGAAAAATGATAAATACCTACATATCAGAACACAAAGACTCATGAAGCGGCTACTTAAAATAACCCAAAAGGATGCATGGTAGGTTAACTTCCAAGAAGAAAAATTCAGGTCAATCCTGTTCAAACCTTTCCTAATGCCACTGCTGAGAGCAAGGATGTGGAAACAGAAGGCAGTGGTAGCATTCCTTTAGGAAATGTGAGGTTGGCTCTTATGTTTGTTGTGTTGATTGGAAGGACATACAAGACTTAAAACCCCTCCAGGTACTACTGAATGTGCTCTTTATAGGAAGAAGCAATACAAACAGACTCACATCTATTTGTCTCCCCTAAATTATGTTCTTCAAATGTATTTCATTTCCCAGATGCAGTTACAGGAATTTTACAGGAATCTCATGTCATCCTTTGCACTGAGCTACTCTCAGAGGCCCTTAAAAAGCAGTGCCCAAAGCATTCATCTTTACTCATTTTTTATTGGTTAAACCAAGCAGAATAATAAGAGTACTTTATTAAATAACTGATCAGAGTTCTGTTCCAGCCCCTCAAGTAGTTACAGGACCATGGGTGGACAGCCACTTAACTCTTTGCTGCCCAGATCCCTCCCTATAAATTAAGAGAATGGGATTAGATGGCCCACATTTAAAAATGCCTGACTCTGAGGTTATTAACTAGGACCCGCAGATGTCTACACATACCTACACTAAGTCATAGCTGATGTTCAAAAGAATGAAGAAGAAACACAAACAGAACGTAAACTGATTCAACACAGAGAAACAGTAAACTACGTTTATCACGATATTAGTATTCAATGTATTTTAAGGCATTCTAGTTCTTTAAAAACTAGGAATTAATTTCTTCTATTCTATTAACTAGAAGAGTAGATGAACAAGAACTTATTTCCTGACCATATCAAAACACAAAACTAAGAGTCACTGGAAATACATGGAGAAATAACCGAAATTATTCTAGAGGAGACTGACCATTGAAAGGGGGGCGGGGAAGAATATTCTTTTTTTTTAAGATTATAGGTCTCTCCTGCCTTTACTTCACACTAGTCATTCTCAACCAGGGGTGATTTTACCCCCCAGGGGACATTTGCCAATGTCTGGAGACATTTTTTGGTTGTCACAACCGGAAGGGGGTTGTTACTGACATCTAGTGAGTAGATGCCAGGGATGCCACTCAACACCCTACAGTGCACAGGACAGCCCCCATGGCAAAGAACTCTCCAGCCCACCATGTCAATAGTGTCAAGGGTGAGAAACACTTTACACAATTAACTGCACCCACAGGGACAGGGACTTAGGTTAGGAAACAGTATGGATTTGACTGTCTTGGGCAGCCAATCAACCACATGTATGTGTTAAGCATGTATTTGCCCAAACACCACATATATGCCATGGGGAATACAGGGACATCTTAAGACAGGGAGCTCATAATCTCATGAGTATCTATCAATGGGTTTTATTTTTCCAACCCTCAGCCCACATTCTTAATATTCCAAGTAATTTGCCCAAGTAGGAAAAGAATCTTAACATTTTCTCAACTAATTTCTAACATTCGGGTACCACCTATAATTATACACAATAACTAAACTTATCGAGCATACTGTGGGCTGGGAATTATGCCAAGTTTTCTACATGCAACCCTACAAGATGAGCACTATAATCATTCCCATTTTGTGGGGTAAGAAAACTGAGACTTTCAGAGATTAAATAATTTGCCAAAGGCCAAAAGCTTAGTAAATAGCCAGATCAAGATCTGAACCAGATTGGGATCTCCAAAGCTCTTACTTCATGCTTTTTCATGCAGGAGAGAGGGCAGAGGAGGGTAGTTAAGCACTTTGAGAGATATTATTTGGAGATCCATACTTTAGAAGAAAAATTCCTGACATTCACTATAGTATGAGAATTTTAATGTAATCCCTATAAAATTAACTAAATGTTATATTGTACTTCAGGAAACATTTTAACCTATGGTAAATGGTTCTTCACTAAAGATGGTACTGCCTGGGGGCAGGGGGAGGTTTGTATTTGGTCACATGAAGATTTTTTTGTTATTGATTGTTGTCACAATCACAGGGTGGGGATATTTACAGGATGCGGGGACAAGGATGCTAAACCTTCAGCAGTGTGAGAGACAGCCTGCACAGTGAAGAACTGTCCCATCCAAATACCAATAGCGTCCATTACAAATACCTTCATAAGGAAGATCTTCTATATGTTGGCTAATGTTTTGAAATATTCAAAAGGCATTACCAATAGCACAATAACCAATGATCCTTTTGCAACATAAACAAACTCTGTGCAACAAGAGACAGCACCCGGGAAGCAGTCTCACCTTCAGATGGTAGATGTGCTCCTCAGTGTCCAGATCAATGCATTTTGATGACTTCTTTACAGACATCACCGAGAGCCCAACATCAATGCAGCCATGTAGCTTCTCTCTCTCTATCTGCAGAGGCACGAAGAGGGCCACTTGAGAACCATGGTGCTAAGAACAGTAGCAACATGCTTGACACTCCTTGCCTCTACCCCTCGTTCCACATCTACTAGTAGTAAACATAATAACTATGACTTATGAAGCACTTAGCACGAAGGGCTTTCTCCACCAAACCCCTCAGCCACTATACCAGTGGGAGTGACACCCTATGTTTTGTTCCTGTTATTGTGCTGCAAAATGTCTTCTCCCACCCAGAGAACCCCTCAGCACAACCCTAAGGCCAGAACAGACCCCCGGAAAACCAGTAGGGTGTTGAGAGGGACCCCCACATCTCTTCTTGGCAGGTGAACTGAGCCCACCTGGAACCCAGAGCTGGGACAGTGGGGAGCAGGCACCTCTGTTCCATGTGAAGGAACTATTACCCCTCTGTGGTTTCCAGTTCAGAGAAATGCAATCCCCAAATGTGCACAATCTCATCCATGAGCTGACAAAAAGTAGCCCTTCAGAATTCTTCAATAGCATATTGGGATTAATAAGACGACTTACATCAGTTTGGCTCTTGGCATATTTCAAGATTCCTTTATCCAGATAGAAGAATCTCTGTAGGGAAGAAAGTGTAACTCATTAAGACATTCCATCTAAATGTCCATCCTTCCCTTGGTCCCATTTTTCAACTTCAAATTAAATGCAAGTGCCTAAGAACCAGGTACTGAGTGGGGCAGTGTGGGTGCAAATGAAGGTGAGGCCAAGGCCCACGTCTTACCTTGTGCCAGCCTTTCAAGGGCCATTTCCTCTTTTTCAGCAAAAATCCTTTCTGAACTGGCGGCTCCTGGGTGTAATTCATCTCTCCCCTCAGTCCTTCCACCACTTCCCAGCTGTCCTGTTGCAACAAAAGAGTTCAATTCTAAATGGCTAACTTAAAAAATAATAATGTTAAGAAGCACTTCATCCTATTAGTAAATCCATCCAAGATGGTGAGCCTGGCTGGGTTTGTTGGGGAGAAGAAATTAAAATTAAATTTTTATACAGTTCCTGGACTTTATAGATTTAATGCTATAATTTAATGGTATCAAATTTGATTTTTTTTTTCAAAAGCTCTGTTAGAAGAGAATGTTTTTTCTCTCTTTTGGTGCTTAAACCTTGGCAACCACAGCTAAAGGTAAAGATTTTACTGTAAGTCCTATTTCTGTTCTTTTTGACATTATCACACAGTTACTGTGGTGTATCACACAGTTACTGTTTACTCACCACTAGACTTTAGTCTGAATTTTAACCAAAAGCTGCAGACATCAGAATGGAAGTGGGGGGCGTGGTGGGGATGGGTGGGAATATAGGAAGATTGACAAGAATTGGCTGAAAAGTATGAGACTGGATGCAAGTTGGTAAATATGACAACTTGGTTGAAATAATGATTTAGTTGCAAGTTAATATCTTCGAATTCTAGTAACTTAAATACTGGAGATCCTGAAGCATCAAAAAGGTGCTTTTACAACAAGTATTTTCATCCTCTTTTTCCAGAAATGTTGTTTTCCCTCCCTTTCTTTTGTTTCAAAAACTTTTTTTTTTGGTCAATTGCTCTACTGAGCTGTCTGCAATTTTGAAGAGGTACAAAGTGTTGTTACAATCAATCTTCCATTGTTGGCTTCTTAGGTTACTTCAACTAATTGAAAAAGAATTTAAAAAGGAATACAAAAGAAAAACACTAAAAATTCTGAAAATTTATTTTTAAATGCTTTAAAATGCATAAGTCATTGCAAAATTACCCTAAGATAGACCAAAATTGGCAATATATCAGTGGCTGAGATAATGGATTATTATTACTTTTACATTTTTATAGGGATATAACATACATGAAATGCACAAATCTTGAGTACAGCTCAATAAATTTATACACTTGTACCCTCAGTAACTCAGTACCACCCAGATTAGACAGAAAACATTTCCAACACAAGGTAATTAAGTTTTGACAAACATGTCCTTCCCCCCATCCCCCCAGCTTTACTGAGATATCACTGACATATAATGTATGTAAGTTTAAGGTACACAATGTGATGATTTGATACACCTCCATCTCCTCACATAATTACCACTATTTTTTTTATGATAACATTCAAGATCTACTTTCTTAACTTTCAAGTATATAAAACAATATTGTTAATTACAGTCACCATGCTGTATATTAGACTTCCCAGAATTTATTCATCTTCTAGCTGGGAGTTTGTACCATTTGACTAACATCTCTCCATTCTCCCCACCCCTGCCCCCCCTGCCCCTGGCAGCCACCATTCTTCTCTCTCTTTCTATAAGTTCAGCTTTTTTAGATTCTGCATATAAGTGAGAACATATAGTATTTGTCTTTCTCTGTATGATTTATTTCACTTAGTATAATGCCCTCGATATCTATCAATGTTGTCGCAAAAGGCAGGATTTCCTTCTCATTTATGGCTGAATAATATTCCTGTGTGTGTCTGTACGCGCGCATCACGCTTTCTTATCTACTCACCCGTTAATGGATACTTAGGTTGTTTTCACGTCTTGGCTATTGTGAATAACACTGCAGGGAATGTGGGGGTGCAGATATCTCTTCAAGAGACAAACATGTCCTTTTGGCCAAGATTTCACATTGACTAACTTGCTTTTAGTCAAATCTCCAGCCTATAGGCAGGTGGTACAGGCAGAGGCCAGAGGGGCTGGGAGATAGAGAGTAAGTCTGCACCAGCACCAGGGAACAGAAGCAATTAGACTCAAGTCCCAGGAAACAGACAGTGTAATGGGGAGGGCCTGGGAACTGCAGGGAGTCCTGGGTGCTCTGGCTCAGTTTCTCTGTTGTCCTCAAGATCAATCCATGGGAAACACCTACTAACAAGAATACTTTCCTACTTTAGCAATTGAACTCTATATATAATGATCCTGAGAGATCTGCCTTATATCTGATTGCACTTTACTTTAAAGTTAAAGGTAAATTTCAGAGTTTTGAAATATGATAGTGGTATCCTAGGATCTGGAGTTATAAAAGGGAATTCTTCACTGGAAAAAGCAAAGCTTATATTCAGCTCTTAAATTAGAGGACTTTTTCAGAAAGGTTGCAATGTCGAATGAGACTTCTTTATAGCAATTATTACCAATTATTCAGTCATTTAATTACACCCAGACAATAAATAGAGAATGTGTATTATTAAGTGATGGGAAGCTACACACACACACACACACAAATTCCGCTCACATTTATTTCAGCTCAGAAAGCCATTCCTCAAAATTTAAAGTGTCTTAGCTGTCAAAATTTTAATGAATCTTTAAGGTCATCAAGTTAACAATTCCACCTCCTCCAGGAAGCCTTCTTCAGAGGAAAGTACTCTTTCACCCCTAGAGCCTCCATCGGCATTCCATCATACCTTTCCAATGGTTCACCACTTACTTATGATAACATATGTGAGATTTTATCATCCCTACTGAACAACAGACTCCTTGAGGGTGAAGAGTGTCTAGTTTACTTTGGATTTCCTCTCAACACCTAACCCGCTGTCCTGTGAATAGTACGCATGCGACTGGCAAATGGATACACTTGGTCATGGAATAAGGCTGCAAACAGATTTATGTTGTTGGAATATCAAAAATTGGCCTGCATTTGAAGTGTGCCCAATATCTTTGAGCCAAATGACTATTTATTAATTAAATACAGCACATTCACGTTTGTGAAAGAGGGTATGTGTGTGTTATTGTTAGATGAAAATCTAAGGCTCAAAATATTCTGGAAAGTACTCTAAGGGCATCAAGTCCTTTTGATTTGTTTAAGACTCCCAAGCAGAAGGCAACATGCAGAGCGATAATTAGACAAGCATGCACATCTGCTCATTACATTCGATTGTGCAAAATGCAAATGCCAAGAGGGATCAGACGTTACTGCACACTTTACAAAACTGAAAAAAATGGAACGAGATTATACCTGTAGTCTAAAGGAAAACAAGAATTAAACTTAAAAAGTGTTTCAAGGATTCATGTTAGAACTAGATTTCTTCTGAATTTTTGAGACATAGTACATTCCTACCAATGAGCCAATGTGGAGGGCAGGGAATTAGACTGGGTTTAGTGGCTCTTAAGGTAAATAAATAAAAAAGGGTTTGCATTTATTCCTACAAAATATCATTTTTTTTCCTCATTGTATCTCCTACCTGGGCTCAGAACTTGAAACGCTTACCAGGTTGGAAAAGCCAGATTTGAGTACTTAAGAAAGCGAAGGCTCGGGGCCGGCCCTGTGGCTTAGCGGTTAAGTGCACGCGCTCGGCTACTGGCGGCCCGGGTTCGGAGCCCGGGCGCGCACCGACGCACTGCTTCTCCATCCATGCTGAGGCCACATCCCACATACAGCAACTAGAAAGATGTGCAACATACAACTATGTACTGGGGCTTTGGGGGGAAAAGAAAAGGAGGAGGATTAGCAATAGATGTTAGCTCAGAGCTGGTCTTCCTCAGCAAAAAGAGGAGGATTAGCACGGATGTCAGCTCAGGGCTGATCTTCCTCCCCCCAAAAAAGAAGAAAACGAAAGTTCTCCTTGACTGAAGAAAAAGCACTGCAGCCAATTCCTCTTCCGGGCTTGACATCCAAATTCTTCCCTCCCAGCTTCCCTGTCTGACACCATCCTGGAGTTGCTGCTGAGACTTGAAAATCAACATCCAGCCACTGGTCTCCGTGGGGGCGGTATTGCTCCCTCTGAGGCTGTGGAACGTGGGGGCACTCGTGGTTGTCACAGTGATGGGGCGGTACCTCGGCACCTAATGTCTGGGAGCCATGGATTTTAGACATTCCACAATGCCTCAGAGTCTTGGACAATGAAAAAGCTGTCCCACATCGCAAAGACTCCAAAGGGCCAGCAGACACTTTTGTAGGGGAAATCTGTTTCTAATTACTTGAGCATAGAACTTAACTCTGTTTCACATACAAACCAAGGTATTTTTGCATGGATTTTATACACTCTGAATTCTTGGGAATCCAACTACTGAATAACTGAGGGAAGACTGTACTTCGTTCTGTTTGGGACCTTACCAAGCGTGACTCACCATTTTGGAGAATTGCATCACCAAAAGCCAAGACACTTAACGGTATTTGAATTATTACCACCACACACCTGTACAGGTCTGCATTAGTAGCTGTTGTGTTCAACGTAGTATAGCTATATCTGACCACTTCATTACATCTTCTGGTGTAGTCATGTCTGGGCTTTTACACGTTGAAACATATTTTAATGTTAACCACTTTCTTTGAATTTTCCTTTATATTACAGTAAAGCATTATGTTGATATTTTCAAAATTATGTGCGCAAATATATTAAACTAATAATGAATTTCATTTGAGGAGAGTAAAGGAGTCATTAAAATATTGGACATAATAAAGGGACCTTGGTATGCTGGGTTAAGAACCTGCTAAACCTGGCACAAATCCTGTGAGAAGGAATGCCAGGCCAAGACACAGGGTAGTGAAATCACTTTGAAACTATAAGGGCTTCATTGTCTTCTTATAAGTAAGTCCTGTTGGTTTCATCTTCAAAATGTGTGTTGTCTATGTCCCTTCCTCTCTGTTCCCCAGCCACCACCCTAACCCAGACTCTCATCAAATCTCCCCACTTCTGCAATCCCAAGACTCCCCACTTCTACGATCATTTATGGGGCCCATTACATCCTACCCTCCACACAATATAAAAATGAATATAATGTAACATTTGTCTTCATTTCCACGTCAGTGATTTACTTATATTGTTCAGACCTCCCAGAATCTTCTCTTGATCTTTTCTACCCATGCAAACCCTTCAAGATTTAGTTCAGTTTCTACACCCTTCCATGAAATTCCTAAATTATCCAAACCACATCAATCATATATTCCCGTAA